AACCTGCTGTTGCAATGATGAAAAACCTATTCCCGTACACAAAAGGCTTCTCAAAGAGGACTTTTATATCTGCAGCTTTCACCTCACTTGCAACCTTGGCCATTGCTACCGCAACTGCAAAGATAAGGAATTAATTAATTAGTACTTAAAACAGAAAATGTATGCCAAAAAATAACTAAAATAATAGACCGACACTGTATTTCAAGGCTAGAAACAATGGGAGGAAAGGAAACGACAGCTCTCTTGTCTCCCACTTCTATTTCCCTTTGGGCTTTGATAGTGAGAGAGAGAGAGACAGTTCTTCTGGGGGAAAATTGGGGATGGGTTTAAGTGGAATTGATTGTTCTACAAGGTGAAGCAGCAATCGTTAACTCACCATGAAGAAGCATTGACTGTAGCATGGAAAGAACCAGTACAGTAGTCCAACATGGACTAGCCTCTAACAGCATCTTTCAATCATTCCAGAATTTAGGGTCAAAAGAAACTGAAATAGAATTTCTGATTGATACCCAGTCATACGTGGAAGTGACTGTTTGAAGAAAGTTTAAAGTATAAAAACTGTTATATCAGAGATAAAGGGAATGCTCTATCAATATATATTGGCAGTGTTTTTTCCAAGGAAAATAATAAAATATTTGAGAATTTATTCAATCATGACTAGCTATAAGCAATAATGTAATTCTTCAAACGAGGTGCTGTGCTTGCAATCCTACCACTGTATGCTGGCTGTTGACATGGTGTAACCTACTTCTTAGAATTGTCCAATGAGACTGAATTCTTGCAGAAGTCAATCCAAGAACATAACATTTACCAAAAAAAAACAGATAATTTTGAGTATTTTGATTACCAAAATAGAGAAGTGACAGCAACAACACCAGCATCACTTAAAACAAGAAAAATAAAACAAAAGAATCATATAACGATTTGCTAAGCACTGACTAGGATCATCTAGCTTCAATTTAAGTGCCATAAAACCTTACACGCTAAGCTTTCAGCATCATCATCAACCTCAGCAGTAGGGGGCTTTTGATCAGTTCGCCTGAATACGACCTTCCCATACTTATTAAACAAGTCATCAAACATATCATCCGTATCTTCATTCATATTCTGCAAATATAAAGTTTGTCATCATAAACTATTAAGATGACAATGACACACACCAACTGATACAGAGGTTAACAAAACAGACATACTCCAGTGTCAGGAAGAAGAAAAATGAAAACTAGAAGAACAAAAATGGGAAGAAGGGCAAGTTGACATATATCTTGCTACTGAAATAATATTTATGTATTTTTCTACTAAGTTTTTGCTCAAACTAGGAGCCCATGGAATGCTAAATTATCATTTTTCATCAATACGTTATCATTCTTTGCCTTTTATTTCGCATCACTAGATGTCTAGAGAACATTGTTTACAAATTCTCATTCAATTAAGTTGGTTTTTATATTTTTTATATAATACAAATATAATACCCCCACATCATATCTTCTCAATGACTAGAGAATTAAAATTCTGACCGTAATTCATTTTGTAGTCAACAATCATATCTCCAATAATATCCATTCACTCTATCTAACTCTCTGAACATCCAACTGGTCCTACACAATATGGCAAAACCAATTATCCAAGTTTTTGCACTTACAGTCCACAGGGCTCAACTGTTATTTTATTCCTCTCCTTAGTTAATAGGATATTCTTGATTCCTAGAATTGGGTTATAATTTTCATATTTGAACTAACTCCGCTCATTTGCTTTAGGAACAAACTATACTCCTGTTTTGAATTGCCTAGACATGGATTTCTAACTCCTACATAAACAAGGAGGAATGATAAATATATTTCCAAAGAACTCAAGGTAGGGGTGAAATTAATTTACAAATGAAAATACTTTTACATGAGAATATCCCGGAAAAAAAAGTAAAAGGTATAGAATAAGAATTGGATTGGGTTAAATAGGAAATGAACAGAAAGGCATTTAGCAGCAAAAAGTATTTTGGATCCTAAACTGCCTTGGAAGAGCACAAAATATGTTCTTTTTAGTAGCAATGATACAGAAAAAATAATTATAATAAATGAAAAACATATGAAAAATACTTCTTTTTTGTTGTTGTTACAATAATCTGAGCGGAAAAAGGTTGTTGGGTTCATAAGAAAATCATAGAATCTTAAATTCATAAATCTTCTTTTTTCCTTTTCTTAATAATCAAATGAAGATCAGGCTCAGAAACAAAAACTCAAAATGGAACCCAGAAATATATTTTATCTCAGTAAATCCAAGAAAATAATATACACACACACACACACATAGTAGCATAAAGACATCTGAAATGGCTTGATGCAGTATATTTGCGTTAATAACGGAGGTTCATTTTTTCTCAACGGCTATGAGGTTGCATACATGGAGGAACTGTTGAGTACAAACAGAATGAATACTTCATAGCAAGTATTACCACGACAAATTCTTTTATTTTCTCGGTATTCTCCACACTGATCTACATAAACACGCAAAAAAAAAGTCCTCACACTTGCCTCAGTTTTCTCAGCATCCAAACAGATTGCCTCGCGAAACCAATAAAACAAAACATCGAAAATAAGCAGCAGAGGTACTTGTTTCATGGTAAAAAAATGACCCAAAAGAGAACAGACATATACATATATATGTATATATATAAAATATCCCACCGAGAGAAAGCTATCTTCAGCCTCCTTTCCCAAAGCAAAAATGAAGCCTTTCGTTCTGGGTATGAGCCGAAAGCACTTGTAATGTAGCGAATGCTTTCCTGGAAGGCTTAACCACAGAAAATGCTTCCTGGGTCCCGGAGAGAGATTTCTTTCCCCCGAAAACCAGGTTCCGGCACCGGCGCCGACGATGCTAAGAGCAGCGGACGATGCCATTGTTGATGCAGGTAGAAGATAGGAAAATAGGAAAACAGAAATTCAACACACCTCAAGAACTAAGTAAAATTTGCTGTTGCTAATCTTTCGTTTTCTCATCAAGATATTTGTTTTGGATGCATCAGGATAAGACAATCATATTTACCTCTGTCTGCAGGAACCCAAAAAAAAAAAAAAAAACAATTTCTATTACATTCATCCTTTTAAAATATTAATATATTTTTTTATTTCATTATATATTAATATTTAGCTCAAAATTTGCTGAGCTTCAATTTTATTATTTCAGCTCTACTTTGAATATTTTTTTATAAATTTAATTTTTTTACTACGATAAAAAGAATAATCCTTTTTAAATATTTCTAAATAAATTTGATAAATATTTTAAATTTTTTTATTATATCTTTAACTATATTAGCAATATTTATACCTTATAAATTTTATTATTATTTTAATTATTATTTATTAATAACAAAATAAATATGATGTTAAAATTAATGATAATTAAAATAATAAAAAAAATTTAATAATAATAAATATATCGCAAAATTTAATAATCAATAATATTTCTAAACAAAACATAAATACAAACTTAGTTTATAAAATTCATGTCACTAATTTTGAACTTTCATTTTTTATTCAGATAATTTATAAATCGTTAAATTTAAAAATTAATAATATTTTTAAATATATTATAAATATAAATTTAATTTATAAAATTTCAATCACTTTATACTTTTATTTTTTACTTAAATAATTGTCAAATTTAATAATTAATAATATTTTTAAGTATATCATTAATTACAAACATAATTTATAAAGTTTGAGTCACTAATTTTGGATTTTATTTTTTACTCAACTAGTTTATATATTATCAAATCTAATAACTAATAATATCTTTAAATAAAACATAAATATAAATTTAATTCATAGAGTTTCGATCACTAATTGGAAACTTTTATTCTTTAATTAAATAATTTGTTTTATATTTTTTATTCATAATTTTAAAATAACGTACGTTTGCTAATTAAATTTTGTATTATGAAATTTCGTAAACATAATATTTCTAAATAAATGATAAACTTCAAACTCAATTTATTGAGATTCTATCATTAATTTTGGATTTATATTGTTTACTAAATTAATTTAATTTAAATTTTTTAATAATTTTTAATAGTGTATAATTATTAATTTAAATTGCCCTAATTAGTTTCCAAATACATTCATTTTTCCCCCAAAAGATTAATTTTAATTCACTGAAAAAAAAAAATTATTTCTTTCTATTTGGTTCTTCAATACAAGCAAAATAAAACATAAACACAAACAGACCGCCGCCATCTTCAACCCACAAACCCCCAGGTAAAGCTTCAACAACTTTTGTCCTTCTTCTTGTTTATGGGGACCTGCTTCTTTTCATTTTCTTCTCATGATTCTCCGTAAATTTTATATTTTTCTTTATTTGCAGATTTCGTTAGATCATTTAACGTTCTAAGTTTCGAGTCTCTGGCTTTAGCCGGAGCTTTTACTCACGTAAAAGTTCAATTTTGAAACCAATTAGAGGGTTTTTATTTTCATTTCTAGGGTTAGGTTAATGCTGAGACTTCTCTGTTTTTATGATGCGATGTATTTTATCCTTCCTCTTCTCTTTTTTTTTTTTTTCAAATTCTGGGAAGCAATTAGTGTCATTCTTTCGGGATTCACAATTATCGAGTCGTGGGATTTATATTGACCGTTTGTGAGTTTTACGCTCAGTGTTGGTGGTGTTGAGAGCTTTATACAAGAACTGTTATTTTGACTGGGAAAATAGCTTGGTAGTGGCTGGTTGTCTTCTGCTTGCCAAGGAGAAAACTTTCTATTAACCTAAGCCATGGCTACTTAGCTGAATATGCGTATAACTTCTAAATAATGATCTTCTTTTCTGAACCCAATTTTTTTTTTTTTAATTAGAGATTAGCAATTTCATAAGTAAAGAGGTAGCTCTAGGAAGTTTTGGGTTTTGTGCAATTCTTGAGGTACTCGCCTTCGAATTTAAAAAGGCCTGACTTTGCAAGAGACCACGAGTATAGGCCTCCCTGATTGAGATATAGAATTTACTCTTTTTTTTTTCTTTCTTTTTTTAAAACTCCGTTAGTCTCCAATATACTTTACTCCAGCTAGTTTCAATTTAGAGGGATTCTATTACTTGGTTCAGTTTCGCCTCACAGTTGTGGTTGTCTTTAACAACATGAAAATCGCTGCTCTAGGAAGTTTTATTTCTCTTACTAATCATTAGCATGTTTAATCAAAGGGTTCTGGATGCTCTTTTCCAGTTGGTACTTTATTTCATGATCCTCTATAACTGTTTCTTTGTGGCACTGAGCAATGGTGGAGACTTTTCTTATGCCCAGAATCATTTTCAATGAATATCTACCTTAGAAACTTTAAGAGTCAAGTGTTTGGAAGCAATTTGGGCATCTTAAAGTCAATCTCTACTAAAAAATTTGTGATTTGAATTATATTTTCCATAATCTCAATATATTAATGCCATTTTTGTTTTTTGTTATCACATTGTTTTCG